GTCACAGCAATGGTAGTACAACCGAGCAGAAAGTGATTCTACGTGAAAAAGCAAATCGAAAATAAATAATAAAAGTTTTTCATTCAAAGCTTCGTTTTCAAGAAAATCGACTTTGAATATTCACCGAGTGCGTGTGCATTAAACTATGGCTTATATGGAGAGACCTATTCAATACATGAGTATCGGTACTGTAATCGAGGAGAGCATGATTCTACGTGATAAAACAAATCGAAAATGAAGAATAAAATTTTGTCATTTGAAGCTTAGTTGTCGAGAAAATCGGCTTTGAATATCTACAACATGCGTTGATATACTGCTGGTCCATCCGCCGTAGCTGAAGTTAAGTGCACGCTTACTCAGTGAATATTCAAAGTCGATTTTCTCGAAAATGAAGCATCGAATGAAAAAATTTTATTCTTTATTTTCGATTTGTTTTTTTCACATATAATCATTACCTCCTCGATTACAGTACCAATACTCATGCATTGATGGTCTATCCATATAAACCATAAGTAAGTGCACTCGTACTCAGTGAATATTCATAGTCGATTTTCTCGAAAACGAAGCGTCGCATAAAAAAATTTTATTCTTTATTTTCGATTCGTTTCTGCATGTAGAATGACTCCCTTTCCAGATTTACTACTATTGCTTGAACAGCCTGTATATATATTGTAATACACTAATTCGGATTCAATTTGGTAATACATTCATAGATGGCTAGAGATAAATGTGCGAAAAGATCATAATTGAAAACCTTGTATAATTCATAATTCTTAATTGTTAAAAATTGATTTGTAATAGGTATTTAGTATCAGAGTATCATTGCTGATATATCATAAATAATTAATAAGCATCAGTTTTCTTATTAATTATTCTCTCAGATTACATTACGCTATTAATACGTTTGTATCACTTTACATGTTAATTTATTATTACTCTGCATACAGTAAAAATATCGAATGATGTGTAAAGAGCGATGCATATGTATATATTATAAAACAATTGTCAATGAGCAAAGAAAAAATATTCTTTCTTCCTTCAAGTTTCGTGTTTTTCAAAGAATTTTCTGCACAGATTTATTCTTAAAAACGATTGGCCTTGAAGATACTGTCGTTCAAACTAGCATCATTTTAATTCTCGTTGTAAAATATTTAACAGATAAATCTGTTAAAGAAATGACGAAGTTTTCCCGATTCTGCAGTATAAAAAGACAAGCAAATAATAAATATGTTTGGAACAGGTTTTAGAGAAAATAGAAGTATCTTGAAGGTCATGAGGCCTTGACAAATTCAGTGTAAATCGTATATGTTTCAAATGTTGTAGTGGGTGCCAAACAAAGACGTCATAATTTATGTAAATTTTACAATCATTTTTTTTTCGTTACCTGGTAATATAAATTTGTTAACAATTATTGCAGAAATTGTGAAAGAAAAGACTATAACATAGGTTATATATTACCAAAGTAATAGATAATAAACTAAATATTAAATACATTAATTTTTATAACTGTAATAATTAAACGTATATTAATCTGTTTGTGCATAATATATTTAAATTCATTATTTGGAATAATTGTTCAAGTAAATTATCTAAACATTTAAATAAATTTTAATTTTAATAGGAATTGTAGACAACGAATAAATAATTAATTATAATAATATTTTATTTATTTATCTTTTCTAATAAATAATTTTTTATTTAGATATATTCCAAAATCAAATTCAAAACTAAAATATAAATTTCAAATAATTTAAATAATTTAAATATAAATAATTTTAATCGTACATACTGAATACCGAAAACTAATATTTTAATTAACGATAGGTACGTGTATTATTAAATATTATATTAACAAATATTATACTTCGTAATAATCATTATTTGAATGATAACAGAAAATAAATTATTATCATTTAAAGAAAATGACTGATTTACGACTTTGCAGATGCGAATCAAATAGAAAGTAAAACAGTAATCGAATAATACAGTAATCAAATAAAAATTTACTCAGATGAAGCAAAAATTTATTCCGAAACACATCATTATTCTACTCGTTTCTTGTACTGGGAATAAAGACTACACGCCATAGTCGTAGCTTTAGAATATTCCGTTTGAACATATCATCTTTGATCTTCGAATCAAAGCGCCTCATCGTTTCTTTGTTCAAACGCTAGATTAAAATATATACTATGCACGTATAATTATCCGAGATTATTTACATATCGTCGTGGTATTCAGCATCGACAATTTGAGGAATTACATACGAGAATCGTGCACGCCATTTCGATTTACTATATAAAACTCAACGTATTATCTTCATTGTCTTCACAAAGATCATTCCTCAACGACAATATAAATATCCGAAATTTCAAAATATCTGTTTTTTAATTTACTACTAATTATTTTTACGACCTCAAGAAAAAAGGCATAAAAGGATCCATTCGCTGTTCGAAATAGCTACAAAGTGTAAATATATACCCTGCTACAGTATATATCTTAATGCTAAATTCGTTAAAAAGTTTATGGTAATCACTACAGATGCTTTTTGTGCCCATGACTTAGTTTCAAGCTGCATCCAAAAAGTATTAGCATTTAAAGCTTAAGTCATCGTTTTTATCCCGTTCTTCGATATCTACTTTGATGCTTACCTTGATTTTATAATTCATATCTTCATCTTCTGTCTATCACTATCCTTAATCTGCTAATTAGAATTAACGATTACAAACTACAGTCAGTCACAAAAGTATAAACACAGGGTAGTCGAGATATTCAATCTGAAATCGCACACCATTCATAAAGAAGGAAATACAAACAAAATTTATTTGTAACAAACATTTGTTGTTCAATATTACACCAATAAGTCAACGAAAACTCGTTGAATAACTCGGACGGTGACCAGTTTATAATTTAGGAATAATTCTAACCGTGTAAGGAGGATGTTAAAGAAAGGCCATTTTTAGCATCGTCTAAAAATGAAAAATTCCTTCATAACCTTTAAGAGCATTCTCCAAGGAACAAAAAATTCCTTTATCGTTTTGCCGAGAAACGATGGGATAGCTGTAAAAAATGAGTCGAAGTATGTGAAAATGGGACTGATCAAATACAGGGTGTCCCAGAAACGATAGTACAACCGAGGAGGGGGATGATTCTACGTGAAAAAACAAATCGAAAATAAAGAATAAAATTTTTTCATTCGAAGCTTCGTTGCCATGAAAATCGCGTGTACTTAACTCTAGCTATGGCGGATGGACCATCAGTATATCAGCGCATGCTGTAGATATTCAAAGTCAATTTTCTCGAAAACGAAGCATCCAATGAAAAAATTTTATTCTTTATTTTCGATTCATTTCTGCATGTAGAATAACTCTTTTTCCGGTTGTACTATTATTGCTTGAACAGCCTGTATATATATTGTGATATACTAATTCGCATTCAATTTGGCAATACATTCATAGATAGCTAGAGATAAATGTGCGAAAAGATCATAATTGAAAACCTTGTATAATTCATAATTCTTAATTGTTAAAAATTGATTTGTAATAGGTATTTAGTATCAGAGTATCATTGCTGATATATCATAAATAATTAATAAGCATCAGTTTTCTTATTAATTATACTCTCAAATCACATTGCATCAGATCACATATTTCAACTCATTTCTGACTTTTTGATCAAGGAATTTTTTATTTTCAGACGATGCCAGAAGTGGGCCCCTTTTAACATCCTCCTTTATAGCGTTTTTGTTTTCAATTATCGAATTCCAACATAAGCTATTTGACAAGTATTATAAATCAGTGCAAATGCAATGTCATGAAAAGAACCTGTTCTCTCTGGACAAACGAATGTAAATCTGGCGTAGAACGTAAACGAGGAAAGGAGGAAATACGAAGAAGTAAAACGATAGTGAGAAAGGATTATGCTATGTTTGCCTTGTGAGAAGTATCTGAGATCGTATAGAAGGGCGCGATAAGTCGACGGGAAAAGTATTCCAAGCTGAAGGCAACGTAACGTGGAAAAATTCGAGGGAGAGACCCGAAGTACTCATTTGGATATCGAAGTTACGCCAGATGCGATTCCGATTCATATGCACATCAGGAACTTCCTAGTGGTGCGTGGTACCGTTCGAGGAACGTCAGCCTCTTTGTCACGTTCTTCGATTTCGTCGATCATATCTAGAATGAAAAGATCCGATCGGTAGACATCGTGAAATCATTCGCAATCGTTTTAGCTATTACAAATGTTCCGTAGTGTAATTTCGGGTCGGAACGACCTGTGATCCGTTGAGTAAATGCTTGGCATAAATATGGCTCGTAATTTTTCGCTCTTAACACTTTTTTGACCGGCAATTTCACACAGAAACTATGTCATGTACCGGCTATTATTTTGTAATCCAATCTTTAAAATCACTTTCACACGCAATATTCTATATCGTCCTGGGTTTCGTAAATTGAAATAAATAATGCAAGTGCAATGACGAGTCAACTCGTCATCGGTCAACAACGTTTGAGCAGGAAAGGACGAGTTAACTCGTCACCAGTCAACAATGTGTTAATAATGTCTTCTAATAACGAAGTACATCTTCGGTATATGTTTGACATCTTTTATTATGAAATATTGAAGTTGAAAATTGTAATTTTATATCAATTACAGAATAATTAGAGAACGTTTAACGGAATTACAGAATATTATTATGTTAAATTTAAATATGTTTACATATGTGTATTAAGTAGATAGGATATATTTCATCTATCATTACTAGCAATAATAGTTAACGATATCTATTGCAAATTATAACAATACCATCAGTTATATAAATAGCCGGTTAGCAATATCAATAATATTTTCAAGAATTGCTTTTCTGTCACAAACTGCATAATGTTAGAAGTTAAATGCATATTCATGATGTAACTCGGACATCACGAGATCTCACGATTCTTTTTTTCAGCGCGTCAATAAATTTAACGAAGAAGGATGATAGTTCAGTACATAAGGTTGATAGTTGAGACCATTTCATCCGCTTTAATGTCGATTGTCACCTTACCTTCAGTTTCCTCAATCGCATCGAAGTTGAAGTCACCAGCCTTGGTAGCGATCATTGAATCTCATCGTCAAAACCGGCTATGGTATGAATCAAAGTCCTTGATGATACGCGTACGCAGCAGCCAGCGCGACTTTTGTATTGTCTCGCAAATACTCCTATCTCAGATCGTGGCAAACTCTGAAGGAGAACAGAGGCATACCATTTCAACCTCATTTGGTATTGCTATAGTACCATAAGTAGCTGAAGAGCACGAGTCACCGCGGAGACCTCAACGTTTGGTTGTCCAAGAGAACGATGAACAAGCTGCATCTGTGTCTTCTGTTACAATTATGCGTGCTGACCGTGTCTCAAAAGACCGCTTTGGATTCACCACCTATATTGCAAATTTTTCGTAATGGGCAGCGTTGGATTATCGATTATTTCGGTATGTGATCAGTTAAAGTTTCGTATTATTTCGTACAGTGATTCAAAAAATATATATCTGTCGCGTGAGTATAAATAGCTCTGTCAAAACCCGTGGAAGAATGTTTGAAAACCTGTGGTGGTTGAAGGAAGAGATGATTTTCTTTTGGTGCGGTAGTTGAAAAAAATGAAATTTTCATTTTTGATTTATGGTCTGTTGACAGTTTGCAGCGGTTTTTATGATGAGTCGTGAACCAAAGAGAATTAATATATCGGTTTGAATTAGAATTAGTATTAGTTTTGTGTCATTTAAAATCAATGCAGTATACGTTTTGATGATTGATATATTGAACTTATTAAGACTGATTTTAATGTTATTTGAAATCAGTAGAGTAGCCCTCTTGAGGATGAATTGATATGTTAGGATAAATTATAATCAAGAATATTTATAGTATTAAAAAATGTGGCGAATAGAATAATAAAAATTAATGGTCAATTGTAGATGTACTCTTAGTGCCATATTTTTCGGGTATTTTAATCGAGACAACGATTATTGTCATACTTATTATAACGATATAACCTTCGTATAGTCTCGAAGAAGAAATTTTGTTGTGGATCGAGATTGATAGAATTAAAAATAAAAATAGATTTGAATTTAAAAATAGATGTTAAAAATAGATTAGAAATTTAGTATTATTTTTATATAGCACATTAGAGATATTTATAATTAATTCATAATTAAATACATTCTGTATATCTGAAATTTTTCAAATTTTCTATTTATGGATGAAGAATTAGAATTTATTACGATGTTAAAATTCAAAACTGATTTAGGAATATTTCTTCTTGAATATTCCTGAGCACGCTGTTTTCTACCATTTAAATTGTTGTCGAATTAATGAATATTTATCTATCCCTTTCGACGGTATGATTTCATTAGACTTAAAAGATTAAATTTACATAAATCTTCGTAACTATGCAGTACGTAACTATTTTTCTGCAGATATGAATATTTATACAATAATGTTTAGTAAAATTTTATTTAACATTAACATTAATGTTATCAATGTTTTATGAAACAATATCATTTTTGTTATATTCTATTTAAATTCTTTTCAATTCCTATTGATGCAAAATTGTACCTTCGTATTGTGCCACTTAAAGCATTTTGCAAAATTCTTTGTTTTGAAGTACTTAAATATAAGAATAATTTTCTGTTGAATTACATTTTAATTTTGTTTTATTACGACTAACACCTACGAATTAAATTAATTCTACATTATCCTTTTCTTATATTTTAATTTTATTTTTTATTACAAATAATATCAACGATTAAAATTATTTCTGCATTATCATTTTCTTATATTTTAGTTTCATTGTTTATTACGAATAACATTTACGAAACGAATTAATTTTATAATAAGTTTAATATCTACTAATTTTTATTCAGTATGCATGGGAATATAATGCTACAATGTACGAAATAATTTAATTTAGTATAGTAATAATAATAATAAGTAATAATAAATAATAAATATAGTTTCTTAATACCTCTATAATTTGTTAATATTTATTTTTATAAATTTTATCCTCGTTACGCTTTTTTAATAATATATATATATTTCCAAATTCCAGTGTAATAATAAAATAACTATATTTCTGATATTGAAATAGTATGTCTAATATTTTTATACAAAATATATAGTTTAATTTTCTCTGTTAGTTAATAATTTTTGTTACGACAATACTTGAATATTTATTAATAAAAACTGCAAATAATCGATAATTATTTTTTAGGCAGAGAAAATGAAGAGCGAAGTTTTTCAACAGAGGAGGGAAACAAAGTTCAAGAAGAAATCCCAGCAAATGTACCATTTCCTTGCAATGTGACAGGTACAATATGCGACAAAATAATACCATAGCCTGTAATTTTCAATGTTCCTTGAAACTAATTCAATGTACGACATATTACATATGTACTCTCATAATAATACAGAAGAATATTAACTACAGTTTACATTTCTTCTTACAAATTTTACTTCTTCGTGTGAAAAATGGCTGCGACAAAATGATAACACAGATACCAAAAATACAGATCAATCAGATTATGGTTTTTGAAAATGGAAATGCTTCTTATATACTTTCATGCGACGAATCCGAATCTGTCAGTAAAAAATGTTTACCATCTTAGATTTACGAAATAAATAAATAAAAGGTATCGATTCCTGCTATTTTTACGAAAATATTCTAAAGATATTAATTTTTTTCAAAAATCTTTATCAACTACTTTGTATAGTACTAACTTTGATTGTAAAATCAAATTTGTATATAATTATACAGCTCTGAAGTTACTCGAAAAATACTGAAAATTATAGAGCGTACTATCATTTGTTCGAGTACTGTAGTTAAACAAATTTTTAATTATTATTGTCAAAAAGTTTATGAAATCATTCTTAAAAATTTCTTCATACTCACTTCCTAATAAAACAAATATTGTTTAAAATTTATATTAAATATATGATTCTTATGTGTTTTTATATTATTTTCGCTTTTTATAATTGATATTCCGTTAATTAATAAAGAAAAATAAAAATTATGATTAAAATAAAATAAAATCAACGTAATATTATATTTGATAAAATAAATATATAATTAAGCATCAGAAGATTTAATTGAATTATAATGTACGAAAATCTAATTTTCTTTCTCTTTAACTAGAAAAGAAAAATTCTATTTTCTTTAAGTTTCATTTAAGAAATGATTATCTAAATATACGTAATCTAGATTAAATTAAATCTCACAAATAAAAATCTATTTAAAGTCTAAATTGCATGTATCAATGTTAAAACGAAACTTACAGTAGTAGAATACTAATTTTTCAAATATCAGTTCTACATATCATCGATGTCAAAAAAGATCTTAAGTGAATTAATCAATTTACATAATTAAGATAATGAAAAATTTAGAATATTATGATTATTAAATTAACTAGGAAGTATAAATTTGTATAATTATATAACCTACTATTTATCTCGCGAATCGATACAGTTCTAACTTCCACTTAGCCTCATAATATAAAACATTTCTAGGTGGTAGATCTCCCAAAGTTCCCGACTCAGTCCATCGCTTAAGACCAGGTGACATAGACGTTATTGGTGCGATGGGTGATTCTTTGACAGCCGGAGTTGGACTATTTGCGAAATCTCTACTACAAGTCTTCGTTGAAAACAGAGGCGCGTCAGGGAGTATCGGCGGTGAAGGAACTTGGAGGAAGTATCTGACGCTTCCCAATATTCTTAAGGTACAATGATCATTCACTGATCCATCGATGCGAATTACACGTAATCGTTAAACAGTTGTACACTGAATATTTACAGATCGAATATTTGCTTTAATTATTTATTTTTTAAATTATTTTTATAACCAGGAATTCAACTCTAACCTAGTTGGCTATGCACTTGGAGATTCTTTGAGTATTCAGCCAGAATCACAGTTGAACGTTGCTGAGACTGGTGCAATATCTAAAGATATGCCATTCATGGCCAGATATTTAGTCAATAAAATATATAATGATCCAAGGATAGATGTACAGCGACACTGGAAGGTTCGTAATTTGGATACGATTATTAAATATTTTAATGGAAATGCTTTTAGCTAGATATTATATTTTAGAGTTGTCCAATGTTTTATTGAATTATTTGATATTGCCTGTGATATTATTAGTGATACCAGTATATTTAGAAAAATTATTGTAATACGGGGAATGTACAATATAAATTATTACGATAATAGATGAGAATTTAGTTTGTTGTAGCATATTATAATATAATGCTATATTATTTTGTGGTAATATAGTATTTTATAGTACTAAAGTACTGTGCGTTTGAGAGAAGAAGGCGCAGCATGTTTTTCGTTAATAATTTTCGTTCTAATAATGTTAAAAATATAATTCTAATTATTAATAAAATTATTAAAATTTAAAAAATTTATTATTCGATAATAATAATAAATTCTATAAAATTAAAAAAAAGATTATTTTATCTATTTAAATTTATATACTATAATAATATAAATAAATTATAAATAATTATTTTATTATTTATTATAACTTTTTATAATTTAATTAAATTCTAAATTTAATACACTTAAATGTGTTAAAATAATAATAATAATATATTTAAATTAAATTTTTTATTAATAATTTTTATCTATTATTTAATTTAAAATAATTTCTAAATTAAAGTCGTTTCGTGCAATTTATTTATTTATTACAGATAGAAACTGATTTGACTTACGTCGTTCTGAACTCAAATCATGTAAGATTTTAGAAGTCGAACAGACTTAATTTTTAAATTTCTTCATTTTAAATTTATCTTAACTTAACATTAAGGTTGCAAACCCTTAATTAATTTGTATTCTAAAAGGATACTACCGAGGTACATCTAAGGTAATTTGTTTTTTAAACTAATATTATTATATCAAATTTGTTATTCTCGAATCAAAGTTTTTTGACGTAAACACGCTGTACCTTCTTTTTTCGAACGAACAGTACTTCACAGTGTTATAGTATTTTATGGGATTACAGTACTCTATCGTATTACAGCATTTCATACTGTTTCAGTATTTTACAATATTTTCTATATTTCTATAAAACAATTTCGAAAGTGAAATGCACTATTTTCGTAATTACCGTTTATCTTTGTAACTTTCATCGTGTATAGCAGAAATTAAGCTCGAAATAACTATCAACTCGAAGAAATTCTGCTTTTATAAATATTTATTCTTCTTTTCTCTTTAATCGTTTATATAATAAAGTACTCGTCCCTGCCTTTTACAGCTTATCACGTTGTTAATAGGAAGTAACGACATTTGTTCCAATATCTGTTCCCCTCTTTTTCCATGGTCTCTCTTGGAGAGTCACAAGGTCAACCTAATTGAAACTCTTAGGATATTAAGAGACAATTTACCAAGAACTTTCGTTGCCCTTGTTGTGACAGTAAATTTAAAAGCACTTGTTAATGCACATAAAGGAATAAAGTTATTGAAGTGCTATATAGCAACTCAAGTAGAATGTGGATGCTTCTTTTCACTGCAATACAGAGCTCAAAGAGGGGAATATTATAAAATGTTGGAGAGGTCTGTATAATTCTCAAAATTCTCCTTGGATACCTAAAACTTCAACGAGTTGTTTACAGAAATGTTACGTTGCGTAATAATTAATATATATAATTAATAATTTTACATAATAATTTTTCTTCTATAACTTTCCTGCATGTTTCATTGCTGTTCCATATTTATAAACAATTTCATCGCAAAGAGTTATAACATCGTATAAATTGTAAACCTTTTAACCCACATGACATCAGAGTATCATCATAAAATCACTTCCTGCAGCTAATTCATCTTCGAGTCTCGACAAACCTGTTTAAGTCATCGTCAAGCTTCATCTCTATGAGCCCTTCTTATTCATAATTAAAATCAGGGATTCTTAACGAGTATAAGTAGTATGTATAACGAGTAATATAAGAGTATGAGTATAACAAGTAAAAGATATTGAGTCACACTTAACAAAGAAGTGCAAAGTGTCGCGTCGCGATTGAATTTTGGTGAAATTCTGACGGGTTGTAAGTCATCCAGTTCAAGAAAATGTACCACAATAAGGGCAATTACTCGATAGTTTTTGAGATATTTATGATTAAAGCTTTTTTACTTAACTAGAAATTTCTTCCGAATAGTTATCGGTAGTTATCAAGTGGCATTGCGGCCTAATGGTAACATTAGCGTGGAAATTTTCGGATATCACCATTAGGCCACAACGGCACTTGATAAATATTCGAAATAAACCTGTAATTACGGCAATGATAAAACTCTAATCATAAATATCTCGAAAACTATTGAATAGTTGCCCGTATAATGGTATATTTTCTTGAACAGTATGACAAAATCTACAAACCTGCAAAGTTTCATCTAAATCTATAACCCGAAGGACTTGCACTGTCCTTGTTAGCTTCGTCACTAACACACCTCAGCTTCGTTGAAGTAGATAAAGAAACAGGGCCTCTAGAGACACCGTTACCTTTTCGTGAAGATTAAGGGACACTCTGCAAACAGTTATCGAAGGTTTTACGAGCCTTAAAATTTTGTTACATCCAAAGGGGTTCGGATACAAAGGTCAAAAAGCCTTATTCATGCTTTCTCTCATACAGTATTATTTACTGCATTATTTTCTACTACTGTATCACTCTACAGTATTATTTTTGCATTATTTCCCCTGACAGTTTTTCGGTGCTGCCTAATATTAATCCTTGCACGTTGAGGATTATAATCGCGAGTGACAAACATGTTAGCAGTGGATAATATATTTATACCAATACAATAAATGTTTATTCAACAATATTAATGTACAGCGTAAAAAATGTCGATAAAATATATGTAATTATGTTCTTCGTACGATACTCGTTCATACGTCTACCGTCGACGAATTCTGAATTGCAACTGACCTATCCCAGTACTCTCTGGTTTGTTCTCTCTTTTTTCATACATTACATAAATGTACACAGTACACACCACGCTTCGTTCATAATCGGTTTTTAATACTGCCTAAATTTGCTTATATCGACACTCCATACATATTCATTCCATTCATTCTTTCTTACAAACATCACTCTCTTTTGCAACATTATATATTAACCCTTTAATTAGCCACGAAATTATTTTTATTATTCACAGCGTATAACGGCAAAATAATAATAAATTGGTGATTTAAGATAACATTCTTGATGTTATCTTGCCAAGATTTGCTTCTTTGCTTCCCAATGGAGCGTTTATCTTATTGGCGGTCACGGGTGACCACCGTAGCACCTTGATAACGGTTGACAATTAACTATCAATTTTCATTCAATTTTTACAATTGTAAGTATAATAGTTCAAGCGCTCCGGTCACCAATGACCACCGTGGCGTCACAAAAGAAACCGTGGTCGGTCATATATGACCAACGTGGCAGTCAAAGTGTTAAAACCTATGTTAACTATTACCACTTTGAACCTAAATTTCGAAGTCCAAATTTGAATAATTCAATTTAGATTAAATATAATAAATGTAATAAAAATAGTATGATGAATATAGTTAACAAATATAATAAATACAAATTAAATATGTAGTAGTAAATGAATATATACGACAATAATAGTAATTTAGTATTAAATAGATATATCTAATTGAAAATTTGCATTACATTGTTTGCAAATTGTTCATAACTTTTTACTACTGCAATACGCAATTCTGTATTTCTTTGTGTGGGTTCAAGTGGACCCAGAGCCCATCAGGCGAGGATTAATTTTAGAATTCATATTTAAAGATAAAGTTGCATTTTAGGTTATTCTTTTTAGGTGGCAAGATTTAGAAGAAGAAATAGCTACTTACCCAGAATTTCACAAAGAAGACTTCACTGTAGTGACTTTGCCAAGTGTTAAAAATGCGTACATACCGCTTGCCAAAAATGGATTGGCTGATTTTTCGTTTTTTTCAGCCGACTGTTTTCATATGAGTCAGAAGAGTAACTCGTGGTGTAAGTACAAGAAGAAACAATTGTATATTATTAAATTATGTTATGTTAGTTATCATTTTATGTCAGTAAATTACTAGTATGAATTAAAAATAGAAATAGAATTAGTATATTTTATGTCAGTAATCAGACAAATATTGTTTCATGCTACCAAAGACGCGAATATTCTATGGAACAATTTGCTAGAACCACTTGGTAACAAGACTTCCGTTTGGGAAGAGCCATATAAAAGATTCTTATGTCCAACTGCGAAGAGACCATACTTGATGACTGCTGAAAATTCTTACAAGGAATTTTTAGGACAAAGACAGCTCTTGCGCAATAGAATTTATTAGGAGGTAAACGGTTCATACAATAGGAGTTCAATGATTCTTGTCATTATCTGCGAGTGTAAATACAGAGATTTTAGAATTAAACTAAAATTTAATCGACGAGCGATTTTAGTCAATTGACACTGACTAAAATTTTTGTTATTCGAATTTAAATAAGTGGAGTTTTACTGTGAAGGTAGAACGCGTTTACAGTTTGCCATTTATGTAGATAAAATACTCATTGTCAGCGTTAAGGTCTAGAAATGAAATTACAGTGACATTTTAGTTACCAATGTAATATATTTGTATCCGTAACGAATATTTATTTATTATTAATAGAAAAAAATTGCTTTTCTGTTTCTCTTTGTGTGCGTATTTAATCATTTAAAGGAGTTCACTGCTTAGTCTTATCCTCATGAGACAGATTTGAGCTTTGGATCAATCTTTTGCAAGATTATCGAAGCAATTTTAATGAAGTTTTCATCGAAAATTTTAACAGTAATGATAAAAAGAAAACATGTACAATGGGTAAGAGATAGTACAAAAACCGGCAAATGATACTTTTCCTTGTCTCAATATAGACATATTATTATATAATTATATAATAGATATATTTCCTGAATTTTTATATTTACAATTCGATATTATATTCACGTTCAATAATTCCTTAGAAATCGTCCATTTGTAAGAACAAATTTTATGCTAATATTAATGTGCAATATTTTTAGACATTTATATGGTCAATTTAATTCATTCATATTTTGCATATTTTTTTAAAGCGTTTCATGCTCTAGAGAAAGGAAACCAAGGTTATGTTAAAATGTTTGTAATTAAGTAACAAATTTGTATAAAAATTGTGAAAATTAAAAACGAATTAAGATAAGTATTAAATTAATCTGGTCTTGTTTATACGTATTGCAAAATCGATTAAAAAGAGGATAAAGGTACCAGTTTGATCTTGCAAAATATAAATTTCAATCTTGCAATTTAAAGTCCACATCTAGTGTACACATACGTGAAAGTATGATGGTTAATAGTGTGTTTTTAAACTGGTTTTATTCAAGCTAGAGTCTAGTTCAATAAACTTCGAAAAATATTCCCGTTTCGTGAAATTATGTAACACCATGTGCCTACGTAACAGATTTTGTTAATACAGTCGAATACAAAAATAATCGAACAATAAAATTTTTATTTTAAACGTTAAATTTATGTATGAATCTGTACAATGAGTATATTAATGAAATAAATTCTAATTAAGGGGTAATAATACATCTTTATATTTATAGTTGTCTACACATTCTATATAATAAATATAGAGGAAACAATGCAAAGAGAATTACATTATATCATAGTGCAGGTATAGATACGTGTGCTAAAAATATAGATCCAAAATATATCAAAATACAAACACTCAAAATTAAAAAAAAGGATCGTTCATTGATTACATATAATTATTTAAATATTGGAAAATAAACCAAAAAATATAAATTTTTGTCTGAAAATATTTAAAAAATTTCTTATGTTCCTTTCAAATACTTTATAAATAATGTTAAATCAATGTTATTATAATAATATGAAAATTTGTAATTAATTTTATATAATATTAAATAATATTGGATATAAAATTTCTTACAACTAGTCCTATTTCAAGTCTGTTGCGAAGTGGATTGCAAAAGAAAAAATATTTCGAAATACATGTCAGTACTGTTTCACTATGAGAAAAGAAAGGCAGTGTCAAAAATAGCAAGCCTTTTGAAGATAGCCAAGGATAGGGACGAAAATACAATTGAATATTAGTTTCAGAATGTCCATTCGAAGATTTTTAATTTATTCAGAAAGATTTGTTATTATTAATATGTTAAACGAAGCGCCGGTCCCTACGGTCCTACAGCCGGTTCTCTGGGACTGTCAAGTGGGCCTAAACGGAACAGCAAGCAAAGTAAGCTGGGTATTAAACCTATCTATTATAATGCTTCAACAAATCTATTAAATTCTTCAAAGCCAATTGACAAGCTCAACGAATAATATTATATTACGATATATATAGGAAATGTTTGGAAAGTACTCATTATCAGATTATAGGACTATCATGATGGAATTAATCCCTTAATGATTATATCTGCGTTAATACCCGAATTTTTAAAAATATCAGCTTCTTTGTAATTTTGATTACGACACGTTATTAGACACTATGGTCACTTACTAAACGATTTTTCAAAAATTCTCGAATTTTTGACCGATTTTTGTAAAATAATTACAAAGTAAAATAATTTGTAAAATAATTCGAAATAATTGAAATAATTAGGTTTTTATCTCGATAAAGACAAATTTCGGTAACTGTCAAAACAAAACGACTGAAATCAAACATTTTCACTAGTTTGACAGTTCTGGCCTGTCATACCATATTATTGAGAACAGAGTTTTGTTTTGTTATATATTACAAAAAATTAATGATTTTATAATATTATTCTTATAATTGAAATTAATCTCTTTCATCTCATAAGCTGTAAGGTATGAAGGGTACATCAAATTTTTATTTTTAAAAAAAGTTAACTTAATTGGAAATAAATTTAATATCTATGTTACTAATGGAACGGTGAGGATGTGGAGAAAATATAAAAAAGAAATTCAATCAATAGTAAATTATGTCGAGTGCAACAGTAATTTACGTGTAAGTGAATTCAAACTTATTAAAAATGTATAGATATTTAAAATTCGAAATTACAAAAAATATAAGAATATGTGAGCATAAATAGGTGTTCAAATATTTTAAAAATTTATTTAACCAAAAATAGTAGGAATATGGTATATAAAAGAAAATTTAAATTTTCCTAATGATTCTAAAATTAAGTCTCAATATTTTTTAATTTAAGTGCAAAAATTCGTGTATTATTATTATACAAAAGCTCTGAAACTTCCTAATTCGGATCTTAATTTAAAAATTCTACTGTTGAGTAGAATCAAACGTTAAACCTATTTAAGAAGTCCTTTACTATAATTTTATGACTCGAACCTGTAAAGTACTTCTGGGTCATTAAAATTTGCTCTTCTTTAATTTTCTAGTTTAATATTTAAAACACCATTTACTGTCAAACACTTGTTTACATTTGTATTATAGATGTTTACAGCTCGATGCATATTTATCAAGTCTAAAAGCTAGAATTAATAATAGTCTTCGAATATTTTTGTGATTGACTGTATATTCAAGGAATATTCCGATGATTATTGCTTCTTAAATTTCGTACATTCACAAATGAGAGATGAAATGAATAAATTACTGCAATTTAAAATTCCGAATTTATTAAGCACAACTTGTTCTGTAGTATATGCATATAATTAGCCCTTTTCCCTATATGCATATAAAAACCCTCTTACATCACGAAGCCACAGAAGCTATTAGACCAACGTATAAACCCCGCACAGTAATACAAAAGCCTAGAACTGCTAATTAGAACGTGATTGCACTTGCAAAATTACGAATTCTGCATCCAAAGCGTTCATTGTCACGCGTAATCTGAATTAACAGAAAGTGTGCCAAGTAGTAACTACTTTCATCTCCTAAGTTACCCTTGAAAGCAGTATGGCGATTACCACATTAATTGTACCAGTTTTAAAAAATGTCACAAAATAGAAAGTCTTGTAACACGCGAAAACAGAAGTAGCAGAAAAGGAGCGTCGAAAATTTAGTAATCGATACTGGAATATTTTCTCATCATTTTATTCACCATTAATCACTTTACTCGATGATACAGTAAACGACAAAATGATACTGCAACCTATACCTTTTTGTTTTCTCGAGTAACTTCAACATGTTACACCTTGGCAAAAATGTGATGTAATTACGAATCTAGTTTAATCCTGCAGAAGTAGGTTAGCATTATGCAATATCGTTGTCAAAGATATTACAAAGAATTACAACCCTTGGAATATTTTTGTAATAGTAAAAACCGATATTTTTTTTATAATTTTTGGCGATCAAATTTACATGCAGTTTGCAATAAAAGAATACTTTGCTTGAATAAGTTGACAAAAAAAATAAATAAAAAAGAAAAATAAAACTCGTACGATTATAAATCAAATTTCATTACTATAGAGGAAGGTTAGTATCGTGTTATGTTGGGAAAAATTATTTTCATTATTTAATATTTTTTATAGAAATTTTGTGTATTGGGCACAAAAAGAAAGAAATATTGCATAATTATAAATTAAATTTGAATTTAGAGGGAAAGGATAATACTATATCATATTGTTGACTAAATTTTGAAAAACAATACTATCTTTGGAATATTTTGGAAAATATAGCAAAATCAACGCCTCTTTATTTATTTACTTTCCAAATCTAATCCTATTACTATTGTAAGTATAGTAATCAATTAATGTTATTACTAGTAGTTTATTATATTATATTATTATATCCTATTAAATATTGTATATAATAATCATATACAATACTTGCTTACCACAGGCAGTTTTTAAGTGAACAAAAATTAAATAAAAAAAATACTTAAAAAATCTTTCCATTCTTAAACAGGGCAATGAAAGCTTGTTGGTTCGTTTTTGGTACCTGTAATATTTCATGTCACCCAATTTTCACATAACTAGACTATGTTTGTGGGCAAAAATATAAATTAATCTTTTTTCCTGTGTCATTAAAAAAGAATTACTTTATACAGGTGTATATATCAAAGAAACACTGAAAATAAGAGGATGTGCTTTCATTTTGTCACGTACTAGTGTATTAGTGTATTAGTGACAGCATGCCACAGTGACAATGCGAGTCGCTGCAGGACAAACTTTGGCTTCACCACTCTTACTCACGTACGATTACTACCTTATAAGAATACGAAAGAACGCAGGTGTTTCGTTTAGGCAAAAAGTAGGGGGGTTGTCGATGGATATGCGTAAGTTTCTTCCACCGTCTTCATTCATGTTCTGTCCCATCTTGAACGAAGACTGACCTCCCCGTGTTCTACATACGGTACCTATCGTCGCGTTATTCCGTACGAAAAGAGTGAGTGAAAAAGTGTGTGACAGAATTTCGATGATAATGACTGAAAATTCTCGTATCACAATCGATGATCTCGATAAACGTAGTAGATGATGTGAGAACAGTGCGAGGAAGTATGAGCAAAACTTCTCTTGGAATTAGGGTGAGAATTGGGATGAAGAATCAATTGGCTGAAGAATCATTCGGATGAAATAAGAACGAGATACCAAGAGCAATGAGAGATTGACTGTCATCGAGTTATATTAATTGCTGTCATTGAGTTACATTCTTGGTTAATTTGTAAGTAAAAATTAAAGAATCTAAGACCTCTGTGCTTCCTCTTTGGTATTCTTTGTTCATGGTAGACCTACTCAGGTGTAATATGTGTTTAGATACTAGATAACATACACATTAATACATAGCATACACATATACACATTATACATTAATACACATTAATACAATAATAATTATAGTGCTATGATGAAAATAGTTAGATATATATAGTTACTTTGTTATCTCAATAAAATAATAATTTTACATTATAATCAATTAAATAA